ATATATTTTGTAATTGCTTAGATCTGCCATAAGAACTATTCTATTCAACTATTTCCCCGCAAAATCTTACACGTTCCCAACACTCCACTCATCAAACTAAAAAGACTGGAGCTCGTTGCAATAAGACTTTTTTTTTAAAAAAAACATATTTTTGGGAGTATAAGACTCACCGGAGTTTAAGACACACCAAGATTTTGAAGAGGCAATTTTTTTTACAAAAAGGTTTTGCACTCTGCAGACCTCCCCAAAATGGCCCATTTTTCATGAAAAGGGGCCTTTTTTTTCAAAAAAAAGGGGGGGGCATGAACAGCCTTTAAGAGGCTTATAGAGTGCTCCTGGGGGCTGGGGAGGGGGAAATTGAGCAAACAACGGCCAATTTTTTGCTCATTTTTGCCCTCCCCAGCCCCCAGGAACACCCTGAAAGCCTCCTAAAGGCTATGCATGGCCTTTTCTGCAAAGGGGGTGGGGTTTTGGGAGGCCAAAAATGCTGTATTCAGTGTATAAGACACACCCAGATTTTCAGCCTCTTTTTTGAGGGAAAAAGGTGCGTCTTATACTCCAAAAATCCGATACCTTACTCTGCCACATATAAAATTGTAAATAGCAACTATTTTCAGAGTAATTAAAATATATACTTACTGGTAAATAGTGGGAAGAGTAGTGACTAAGAAACGGCCACTTACACCTGCGGAGAATAGATACTTGCTTTAAATAGCACTTATTATCTTGCTTCTTACACATAACCATCATCTGACAAACACTTTACAATTAAGAGCTCATTTTCATATTCTGCACATTTTGTGGGAGTTGGCAATCTATATTCCCATAGCTTCACATAAATAACAATAACTCATTTGGTCTCCTTTTGATCCCCTTAACCTCTATGGGTAAAAATGTGAATTATAGTTAAAGAGGTCAGACACTGAAAGAAAACAAGGGTAAGAAAGGGGAATTCCAAGTACTAACAAAAAAGAATTTCTCTTAGCACATTTCAAAAATATTCCAGAACGATTCCAAAATATCCATGAGAAAAGTTTTGCCAAGCACAGAAGCTATTAGTTCACAAACAGTCCAAAAGTATCTTGGAAAAAGAAAGTATTTTCTGACTTAAGTCATGTCAAATAAAAACTATTTTTACCAGCAATTCCTATCTCTCAAAAATTGTTTTGAGACAGGTAATGCATAAATTAGCATAAACCCTACAATAGAGTTCATATTTTTAAAAAGGTTCCAAGGCCATAAGAAGGCCATAGCTAACTGAAGATGTTCCTGAAGTAACAGGACATTACAGCCAAAATCCTTGGCTGGATGTGGGATCCAAACTGGTAAAAAATCACTCTAGAGAAAGGAGAGCTCTCGAAATAGTCCACATGGACTCTACACAATGTTCCTCTGAGTAGATGGCAGGAACCAATATTTTTGAGGTCTGCTTATGAACTGAGTGACTATAAGTCGACGGATTACAACTACACTCATAGTTGTAATATAGTCTTTAAGGACTCAAAATTCAACCATTCCTTGTTTCTTAATCAACTTGGAATTGATTTTAATAATTCTTTACATTACAAACCTCTGGAACAGCAAGTTTTTATGGACTTCACTGGATGAACTTTTTCTATTTATTACAAAAGACGTTATAAATACATGTTTAGATATTTTTTTAAAAATCATTGAGGCCATTCCAAAAATGGCATTTGCTTCCGAGATGGAGCCACACAGCCTAGGAATGCTAAGGGGCAGAGCCCTCCTTTTACAACCCAAGCTCGAGCTCTGCATATCGACAAAAGGTGGGGTGAGAAGCAGACCAAAGGCCTATGGGAACCCAAGGTTAACCCCCACTTAATGACCCAAACCCCTACTCTCTGTTAACCAGAAAATAAGGTGCCTCAAGGAATGGAGGAGACCTTGGGATGCCTGATCCAGGAAGTCCTGGGCCTGCACTAGGCCTCACTCATCTGGAGCATCCCATGTTCTCTTTAATGGGAGAGGAGGGGTAAGGATGGTTAAGTGAGGCAATGTGGATGCATCACTTAATGACATCATGATTTGCAACCATAATGATTGAGCTGATAATGGTGAGTCGAGGACTATCTTACACAATAGTGCTAATTTCCAAAGCAGCTTTAGCCACTATATCATCGTCTAGATCAGTGTTTCTCAACCTTGGCGACTAAGTCCTGTGGACTTCAACTCCCAGCTATGCTGGCTAGGGAATTCTGGGAGTTGAAGTCCACAGGACTTAGTCGCCAAGGTTGAGAAAACTGATCTAGACGATGATATAGTGGCTAAAGCTGCTTTGGAAATTAGCACTATTGTGTAAGATAGTCCTCGACTCACCATTATCAGCTCAATCATTATGGTTGCAAATCATGATGTCATTAAGTGATGCATCCACATTGCCTCACTTAACCATCCTTACCCCTCCTCTCCCATTAAAGAG